AAGAAAGTTTACTGCCCAACCACTTCGTTTAGTGAATACTACATAGTAGTATATACAGTTTATAAACTGCCGTCACGGTCAGACTTGAACACATGATACTCATAAGAAATATAGCAGGCCCCTCAGAAGCAACTGGCACATGAAAGATAATAAGTCTAACCAAATGTAAAGTGACTGAATACGGCGAGTAAGATCCACATGCCAGACAAGATAAATTCACACAAGTCGTGTTAGCAGTCTTAAGGCGTAGCTCCACATGAATGAGAGTTTTGGTTCCTAGCAGAACATAAGGATTAGAAGGCCCTACTTGCTCTAGTTTAGTGAAAACTGGCACATGTTGCATCCCAGGAGTCCGTGTCTCACTGCTCGCCTTCGCCGGGAGGGTTCTTCATGAGTTCCCTTGCCTTCCTGCATGAATTCAACCGAAAGGAATGGAGACGTCAGCTAAAAAGTGTTAAGCGACAAATATGGCGTGCAAGGTCCGGTTCAACCAGGACGTCTCCACCGAGCCTAGACTAGGGTAGTTAGTTGTGATTTCATCTTATCTCTTGTAACTATCTCTATAGTCTATCCCTTGGGCTCCAAGTTAAGGATCCTAACAATGTAATCTTCTCTGTAATTGAACACACTGGCTATCTAGAGGCACCTTGAGTAGCATGTGAGCTGCAGCTTGACGGTAGCAAGCTTTTGCCCAATCAGATCGCAGCATTCTGCTCCTGAGAGCATCTGACAAAGCACCTTCACCATCACCCTTGAGTAGTTTACAAACACTCCTGTTTGCATACAGTGTTGCACTCTCTCCATGAGCTATTGCCTACGGTCAAACATACGAGGTCATGCAGATATTAGTCTCAACTTAATAAAATGTCATCATACAAAAGTTTTAGGCCTTCTTTGGTTTGGAGGATTTTTGTAGGAATTTCATAGGATAGAATTTTTGTAGGAAAAATTCCTTTAGAGCCCTTTGGTTTGTAGGAATGGAATCCTATTCCTATGGAGGAATTCTTTCTATCCTTCACAATTCATAGGAAAATAAGGCCTCTTTTGGTTCATAGGATAGGATTATCATAGGAATAGGAATCTTGTAGGAAATGAGATGACATGTATCTCAAATCCTATGAGTAGGAATAAAAAACAAGATGTCATTTGGTTGGCACCAAAGGAATTTTTCCATTGAGTCTAGGCTCTTTTTTATTTTCCTATGAAGGCCTCCTTTGGTTTAGAGGAATTTCATAGGAATTCTAGAGGATAGGATTTTTATAGGATTTTTTCCTTTAGAGCCCTTTGGTTCATAGAAATGGATTCCTATTCCTACATAGGATTGATTCCTATCCTCCACATTTCATAGGAAAATAAAAAAGAGCCTAGACTCAATGGAAAAATTCCTTTGGTGTCAACCAAATAACATCTTGTTTCCTATTCCTATTCATAGGATTTGAGATACATGTCATCTCATTTCCTACAAGATTCCTATTCCTATGATAATCCTATCCTATGAACCAAAAGAGGCCGAAATGTGGAGGATAGGAACCAATCCTATGTAGGAATAGGAATCCATTCCTATGAACCAAAGGGCTCTAAAGGAAAAAAATCCTATAAGAATCCTATCCTCTAAAATTCCTCTAAAATTCCTCTAAATCAAAGGAGGCCTAAACATTAGCCTAGACTCAATGGAAAAAATCCTATGAAGTGAATCAAAGGACATCTTCTTTCCTATTCCTACTCATAGGATTTGAGATGCATGTCATCCCATTTTCTATGACTTTTCTATTCCTATGATTTCCCTACCCCGTGAACCAAAGGAGGCCTTATTTTAATTAATGCTCATTCATGGGACTCACGCATGATACCAGGTAGAGTGGTGACATACAAAAGTTCTATTTTAATGGTTCACACATGCTAACAGGTAGGAAACTATCTACATTACTACTCAGTAAGACAGTAATACTGCAGAATATGGAGCACATTCTATTGCTACACAGATTGGCTTGTTATACGATCAATCTGGATAAAGCTAGATAATTTGATGCACTGTCATGAACTTCTTATGGGTTCTGGGGATGTAAGACAACAACCAAGTTTGATGATGGAATCTTCATTCATTCTGCCCCAAATAGTAATGCATGAATGCTAGCACATTCTTAATGTATACTGGCTTCAGATCATATACATTTTGGATGACCCTTGGTCAGATCTAATCATAACTTTAGTTTGATCTATAGTCAAATAGATGGTTTCCATGGATCATTGTATCCTAGTCGCACTAATCATTACTCCTTCCAGTACACAAAAAAGAGACGTCCCAAGTCAAACTTAGACCAACAATACCATTTAAAACGTTCAAATTGGGTTGAAAATCATACGCATAGATTTGTGTAGAGAAGTACTATCAGAAAATAAATTGGTGGTCAAAAATATATTCCCAAGACCATGTCAAGGTCCAAAACGTCATTTTTTTGTGAATTAGAGGGAATATTAATTATTTTTGCCAACCAAACCTTCATGTTTTACATTACAAAAAGAGTTATATATCTTCAACCAGTTCCCAGTATCATAGATATAATGCAAGAGGTGTACCAAATCATAAATCTTTGTTGCTATCTTATACTCCTTCTGCTTGAATGCCGTATCAGCCTTTGACTTGATCAAACCTTTTCTTCTTTGAAGGTGCCGTTGCTCCTAGATAACAAATAAATGAAACATGAATTGAATATTTCTATTTTGGAATAATCATTTACTATGAATTTTTTCCCACTTCTTACCACAAAAGACACCCAAGAACTTCGTGTTCAACATTCTTCATAATTTGGTATCTAGGTGGCATGTAACTTACCATTGAATGCTCTCGCTAAAGTTAACAATTTCAGTTTAACTAGATGGCAAGCGTTCCATAGGAAACATGGGAACATCGGTAAATATCAAGTGTTTCTTCATTCACGAAACAACCAAGGAGAACACATTACATAGTATGCCACTTAATTAAAATATAGTACTCTTGTGACATTATTACTGGATACTAATGAATAGCACACCCTCTACTTGATGATGGTGTACTTCACAACCGTGGCATGACATCCATGATTATGAGCCATGTTTCGAGAATTATTGTTCCTGCGAGCATCTAACTATACACAACATTACATGATTTGCTCAATACCTGACTCAAAGATAAGTTCAAGTCAGTTAATAGAAATATGACTAGAGTACAATCTACATGTAAATATCCGCACATCAATTGCCTTATCTTAGGAGTCAATCTTATCAAGTGTAAGGTGTTCATACTTTTCAATGTTGGAATCAAAAGGACTTTTTTCCTCAATGATATGCACTAATTATCCATCACGAAAACCGGATTTTGTTAGGAGTTTCTACACATTACGTTCCACGGTTTCTTCATATTATGTTTTGTTACCAAATATGGGTTTATCATGTCTATTGGTGGGCAGCCCTGTTGTGACTACATAATCATATTACCCTTGTAAAGTAAAGTTGGTACTTTGTTCTCAGATAATCAGCAATAATTTTCGCTAGTGGTGCAATGCATAAAGTAATCACAGCTTACAATAGCACCGAATGCACAAAATATATGAAGGCTTAGCTTTCAATTAATATTCAGTAAGCAAGCATCATAATAAGAACAGAAAATAACATACAATTGGCTTCTTTTCTTCAATTTTCGCATGAGAAATTACTCCTTCAATACTCCAGTTTGGGACATTTGGAATTGGAGAAGTCACAGGAAATAACATTTCAACCTCTTCCTTGCAATCGCGTATCGCAGCAAGCTCTACTGGAAACCTACCCAACTAGAAACAAAAGGAAAAAGAACTTATCATTTTGTTCAAACAAAAGGAAGAAGAAAACCATAGAGATTATAACAAAAGAACTTGATCATTACGTAACATACAATCGATGAAGAAAATTAAATATTGTCAGAAAGAACCAGGATCAATAAAATTATCAAATGTTTTAACTAGGAGAATACCACGAATTGGGATGAAGAATCATATCAATTAAGCTATTTATTTCAGTTTTTATTGCACGAGTACATTGGAGAAATACTAATACCCAGAATAGTACATACTGCTTCTCATTATCTCATCAACTCTTGTCAACTGTTTAGAATATAGCAAAAGAACATGAACATTGTGTAATGTACAACTAGCGTAAAAAAATTATAACATCATGGGAAAGAACCAGGATCTGCATAATCTTTTGATCAAATGTTTCAACAAGGATTTACTCAGTACACAAGGTTTCCAAGAGTATTTCATAGAAGTTGAGACTGAGACACCAAAACAGTTTAGTGGAATCACACTCGTCCCCATGAAATATATAGATAAAAAACGAGAAGTAACTGCACACATGAATTCTTTTTAGTCGGTCCGTTAACTGATGGTAGCATTCATATAAGTAGCCTAGAGTAAAAGGCTGAAAACAGAACGCCAACAGGACGAAGAACAACAACAAGTTAGCTAGGAAAATTCAATTTATTCTACTGTTTATTGCATGAGAACATTTGAGAAATGCTGCTGCCCAGAATGGTTTGTAATAAGATATGAGATCTCAGTATCTCATCAACTGTTAAGTTAAGCACCAATATGATCTTCCAAAATGGAAAAATATTGATAAAATGTTGGACACATAAACCTTTTAAGAACAACGAGTATAGGCATGTTCCTTCATAGGAGTGATCAACAGAAAATGATACATCTGTTGACTGTTGATATAACCATTCAAAATTGGGCTGCACCCCAGTGGTGGATGTGCCGTGAGTGACCCAGCCCACCAGAGTTTGATTTCCGTGGTGCAGATTAATATCTCAGGATGAGCCCCCGATAGGTCTTTTTTTTATGATAAAGACTGCCAGAATGAAATGTGAAGATAATGTTAATACACACAATCGCAACTCCCATAAGCATAGTCAATGACACCAAGCAACCTAAACCCATCGCTAAATGGGTGCTTAACATTATCAGAAGAGCTGAATAATAGTACCACTATAAGCTTAACAGTGAAATTCTGCATACCAGGTCAGCAAATATCAACAAAATATATAAAACACATACATCATCAGGAATATTAGGATCTGCTCCAGCCTTTAATAGGAGCTTAATGAAGTTGGTATAACCTCCATGCATCGTAGCAAGCAACAATGGAGTCAACATGGAACCATTGCAATTGACATCAGCACCAGCCTGTGAAAAGAATTGTGCAAAATTATGTCCATGGTGATATCTCCATGTACATGTATATAAGCATGCAGAGCTCGTAAACTAAGCAAATCACAACATCGCATGGAAAAATAATCCAGAGAATACTCACCTTAATGAGTAGCTTCATGCACTTCAATGAACGATAAGCAAGAGCACTCATAAGGGGACTGGTAGTACCATTGATGATGATGTTAGGCTGAAAGGAGGGCATTGTTTTATTAAGATAAGAAGCACATGTGTTATGATAAATTCAGTAGTTACGTTTGAGATGAACAAAGATATGACTATTAAAAAACATGTCATCATATAATCAACTGTTGTGTGTGGTGGTTCAAGGAATCAGATGGTAAGTGGTTCCAATCGTCATTCTGATCTAGCATGCTTGATTAGTTTGAGGTTTGGAATGGGTTGCTCCATTAAATGAATCACACTTCAAAATCTCCATTGAGTGTCCCTAATAGAATGATTATGTACTGCGGCATCTAAGTATGTATCAATCCGAGCAACCAAAGCAGACCCAGGATAAAACATATTTGTCCACGACATATAACTATGCACAAACTTAAAACTTCCCATCGAAATTAACTGTGAATCAAGAGAAATAATAGCAGAGGCCATATACATTCGCATGGTTTTTTTAGAAAAGGAGGATGACCCCCGGCCTCTGCATCTGGGAGATGCATACGGCCACTTTATTGATTATTCTCGAGGACCTTACAAAGTGTTACAACAATAAGCCTGAATTCACCATCTAGGCAACATATGCCGCTACTCCTATCCATATGATGAAGGGGTGCTAGCTGGGCCACTACCCAGACCACTCACCTAATCCTAACATCAAAAGCCGGAATCCCCAGCCTAGCCACATAAGTCATTTGGGCACAAGCATTGAACAAATTACTGGCAGCCCAAAAGAGTGGTGTTCCACGGCCACAGTCTATGTCAACAGGCACTCCTTTTGACAGGAGGAACTCTGTAACCTTGCAGCATCCTGTGGTGAACGAGATGATTCCATAAGTCATTTGGGCACAAGCATTGAACAAATGACTAGAGTAGAGTAAATAATTACCAGTACAATGACTAGATTGCAGAAATTAAGTGTGAGGGTGTGTGACAGGGGGAGTACCTATACCCGCAGCATGGTGGAGAACTGTGCGCCCTTTGTCATCTGCTTTCACAAGATCACCACCATGATCAAGAAAATACTTGACAGTAGCAACATCACCAGACTGAGCAGACACCATAAATGGAGTCGCACCTTCAAAAAGCACATTGTTAGCACAATCGTACATCTCATACTGGCAAATATTTACATGGTAGCCACCAAATTGAAAAATGGAGAAAGGGATAGAGAAAGACCTAGAGTTGTATCCCCAAACCCAGGAGCATTTACATCTCCTCCAAGCTCCTCCACTAGGTACCTGCAAACCTCTAAATGGCCTGCGCATGTCGCGAGACGCAACACATTACATCCATTCGTGTTGATAGAAAAAAGCGCCGACAGGTCGCCGTTTCTTTTGGTAAGTCTCTTTATAATACCTTTCACAAAAGTAAACATGATCGGATTATAGAAGAGAATAGACAAATTAACAAGTTAGAAAACTAAAAGAAAAGAAGCAAACGTGTTGAATGCACAAGAGCCTCTGGAAGTCAAAGTGACTGATCTATCACATTGCTGGACAGAGTCATGCGGTGAAAATACTTGATAAGACACACTATGCTGCAAATTAGGATGCAATGCACAACTGTACCGCATCATCTTTAGTTCTCGCATTATCAAGAGACTGATCAGCCCAGTTTGTTTTAACTACGGTATCTAATCATGCGGGTGTGATGATCGGTCCTAAAATTAACATGCCATGGCTGTCACTAGGAAAAGTATTTTTGATTGAGTATGAGAAAACTTTTGACAAAGGTATCGGAACCAAGGCAGCGCACACTGTAACTACTCAAAATAACTCACAGACGCAACCAAATGCAGTCAGAAACAAGGTCATACAGGCGGCAGGTTAGGTGCTTCTCATGCAAATCTATTTGGTTTTTTACTAGCTAGAAGGCCCTCTGTGCTTACCCAATGCCCATGTTTTAAACGTACCAACAAATCAAGCGAAAATCTGACCAAATCAAGACAACCAGAGCATCACAACAAACAGAACCCGAAGGCAATCGGTAGAGTAGACGGTTACATGCAGCAATGTAGCATGCCTGAACAACCTCCGACCCCGCGAACACAGCAGTCAGCACACGCATGACGTAACCAAGCAAGCATCGCTAGACTAGAATCGAAGCAAGGAGAACCAGGGCGGCCTTCTCACCTACATACGCGCGCACGTGATAGCTGTCAGAAACGCGGCCAGGGTCCAGAGAGGGGGGGGGGGGCGAAGTTGGGAGCAAATTGAGAGGGTCGGGAAGAGGAGGCTGTACGTACCGGTGCCGTCATCCTTGACGGTGGGGCGGAGGTACACAAACGGCGCCGCCATGGCCCAGCCCCGGCGGGGTGGAAGCTTCCCGGAGGCGGCAGCGACGAGACGGAGAACCCTGCGCCGCGGTGGGGAGGGGTTTGGAGGCTCCCAGTTTCGGCCGACCGCTTTGGTTTGCCTCCTTAACTTGGCGATGATGGCGACGACGTGGTTGGCTGAATGAGCCCGGTGTTGGTGCACCGGAGCTAGCGCTGCCTAGTGACGTGTGGCCCCGTGCGCACCACCGCTCGGCTGCTCGGACAAAGACCTGGTCCACACAGACTCTCTGGAGAAGGTTGGCGAGTACTGACCGGTAGCGGGTGAGAAGGGGAGACGGGTGCAGAGGTTTCTTGCGAGGGTGGATGAGGTGAGCCAATGTGGGAGTGACACGTGTAGAACAAGGACGAGCGAAAAGCTGTAGTGAGGACTGCACCTTCCACGGAAATGGCGCTGAGAAACCGTGGGCGCCCCGGTGGCTCGAGCAAATCACATCTCTTTAGGCCTCCTTTGTTCGTAGGTTAGAAAATTCGCAAAAATAAAAAAACATAGAAATAAGATTGTATGCATCTCAAATCCTACAAGTACGAATATAAAAAAGATGTCATTTGATTTATATCCTCCATCAACGAGTTGTTCTCTTTGGTATTTTTCATTTCACTTAATGATGCAAAACATTAAGACGTAGGAGTCGTTGACCATATCGACACGCTTTCCTAATCAAATCAATATATACTTCCGTCCTTGCCTGGGTCTTGTAGTGGCCTCCACTGGCAGGGTGCCCTCGGAGCCGTCGCTGGACGCGCGGGAGGTCGAGGTGGGTCAGTCAAGTAGGCGGATGAGGCCCGACTCGCCATCGGCTAGGTCAGCTGTGGAGCGCTGCATCATCCCCCGCTCGCAGGAGGTGGTCGCCGCAGAGGATGCTCTGCGTTGGAGCCTGGTCGCAATCACCATGGGTGGGCGGCCAAGGATCGCATCAAGTCTGCTCACCGCGGCAGTCGAGATGTTGGTCCCCGCAGTGGTGGGTGCCTTCACCGTGCATCGGTTTTGGTCGACAGACTTTCTGCTTGTCTTCAACTCCAGGGCGGCACGAGATGTGGTCATTGTTGGGGAACGTTGCAGAAAATTAAAATTTTTCCTACGGTTTCACCAAGATCCATCTATGAGTTCATCTAAGCAACAAGTCTAGGGAGAGAGTTTGCATCTACATACCACTTGTAGATCGCGTGCGGAAGCTTGCAAGGTGATGATGTAGTCGTACTCGACGTGATCCAAATCACCGATGACCTGCGCCGAACGGACGGCACCTCCGCGTTCAACACACGTACGGAACAGCCACGTCTCCTCCTTCTTGATCCAGCAAGGAAGGGAGGAGAGGTTGAGGGAGATGGCACCAGCAGCAGCACGACGGCGTGGTGTTGGTGGAGCTGCAGTACTCCGGCAGAGCTTCGCTAAGCGCTATGGAGTTGGAGGAGGTGTTGGGGAGGGAGAAGGAGGCAACCAAAGGCCAGGGATCAAGGTATGAAGTCCCTCCTCTCCCCCACTATATATAGGGGTGCCAAGGGGGGGTGGACGGCCCTAGTAGATGAGATCTACTAGGGGGGGCGGCGGCCTAGGGAGGTTTCCCTCCCCCCAAGGCACCTAGGGGTGCCTTCCACCACTAGGACTCCTCCTAGGGGGAAACCCTAGGCGCATGGGCCTTGTGGGGCTGGTGCCCTTGGCCCATGAAGGCCAAGGCGCACCCCCTACAGCCCATGTGGCCCCCGGTGATGGGTGGCCCCACCCGGTGGGCCCCCGGGACCCCTCCGGTGGTCCCGGTACAATACCGATAACCCCGAAACTTGTCCCGGTGCCCGAAATAGCACTTCCTATATATAAATCTTTACCTCCGGACCATTCCGGAACTCCTCGTGACGTCCGGGATCTCATCCGGGACTCCGAACAACATTTGGGTTACTGCATATACATATCCCTACAACCCTAGCATGACTGAACCTTAAGTGTGTAGACCCTACGGGTTCGGGAGACATGTAGACATGACCGAGACTCTCTTAGTCAATAACCATCAGCGGGATCTGGATACCCATGATGGCTCCCACATGCTCCTCGATGTTGTCATCGGATGAACCACTATGTCGAGGATTCGATCAAACCCTGTATGCAATTCCCTTTGTCAATCGGTACGTTACTTGCCCGAGACTCGATCGTCGGTATCCCAATACCTTGTTCAGTCTCGTTACCGGCAAGTCACTTTACTCGTACCGTAATGCATGATCCCGTGTCCAACACCTTGGTCACTTTGAGCTCATTATGATGATGCATTACCGAGTGGGCCCAGAGATACCTCTCCGTCATACGGAGTGACAAATCCCAGTCTCGATCCGTGTCAACCCAACAGCTACTTTCGGAGATACCTGTAATGTACCTTTATAGTCACCCAGTTACGTTGTGACGTTTGGCACACCCAAGGCATTCTTACGGTATCCGGGAGTTACACGATCTCATGGTCGAAGGAAGAGATACTTGACACTTGCAAAGCTCTAGCAAAACGAACTACACGATCTTTTATGCTATGCTTAGGATTGGGTCTTGTCCATCACATCATTCTCCTAATGATGTGATCCCGTTATCAATGACATCCAATGTCCATAGTCAGGAAACCATGACTATCTGTTGATCACAACGGGCTGGTCAACTAGAGGCTTACCAGGGACATAGTGTGGTCTAAGTATTCACACGTGTATTACGATTTCCGGATAATACAGTTATAGCATGAATACAAGACAATTATCATGAACAATGAAATATAATAATACTTTTATTATTGCCTCTAGGGCATATTTCCAACAGTCTCCCACTTGCACATTTTCACGGATGGAGTTGAAACGACGCTTGATGTGCCTGGTCTTCTTGTGAAACCTGGGCTCCTTTGCGAGGGCAATAGCTCCAGTGTTGTCACAGAAGAGTTTGATCGGCCCCGACGCATTGGGTATGACTCCTAGGTCGGTGATGAACTCCTTCACCCAAATCGCTTCATGTGCTGCCTCCGAGGCTGCCATGTACTCCGCTTCACACGTAGATCCCGCCACGACGCTCTGCTTGCAGCTGCACCAGCTTACTGCTCCACCATTCAACATATACACGTATCCGGTTTGTGACTTAGAGTCATCCGGATCTGAGTCAAAGCTAGCGTCGACGTAACCCTTTACGACGAGCTCTTCGTCTCCTCCATAAACGAGAAACATGTCCTTTGTCCTTTTCAGGTACTTCAGGATATTCTTGACCGCTGTCCAGTGTTCCTTGCCGGGATTACTTTGGTATCTTGCTACCAAACTTACGGCAAGGTTTACATCGGGTCTGGTACACAGCATGGCATACATAATAGATCCTATGGCTGAAGCATAGGGGATGACACTCATCTCTTCTTTATCTTTTGCCGTGGTCGGTGATTGAGATGAGCTCAGTCTCATACCTTGTAACATAGGCAAGAACCCCTTCTTGGACTGATCCATTCTGAATCTCTTCAAAATCTTATCAAGGTATGTACTTTGTGAAAGACCTATGAGGCGTCTCGATCTATCTCTATAGATCTTGATGCCTAATATATAAGCAGCTTCTCCAAGGTCCTTCATTGAAAAACACTTATTCAAGTAGGCCTTAATGCTGTCCAGAAATTCTATATTATTTCCCATCAGGAGTATGTCATCTACATATAATATGAGAAATGCTACAGAGCTCCCACTCACTTTCTTGTAAACGCAGGCTTCTCCATAAGTCTGCATAAACCC